CACCATGATGTGGAACAGAACATTTTCCATCTCCAAAAATGGCATTGTTTCATAATCTTAATTGGTAACACAATGAATGGATGAAGTGCCAGTTTCAGAGCTACAATTAACTTTTTCAGGTGAGTATCCTCACAAAGCACCACAACTGAGTCACACTAAAGGGTGGAACCAATGAACTCAGTGGGACTTCAGACTAACTGGAGTCCCATCAATTTTAGTAGGTCTACTCTAAGTGTGACCAAGTCTGAATCCAGCCCCATATATATCAAGTCCATACTACATATGACATCATTTAAGTACCTGTGCCCTTCAGTACTGGGTTGTTGACAAACAATAATCAGAATATTGTGGAAGCATCAAATGAGAACCTGACTCTCTTTTGCCGATTCTAGTCTACTATGGTCAAACCTCAGAGGAACATGGCATTTTTCAAGAGAGATGCCATTGAATTCACCCCCCACGGAATTGTACCCGCTGCTGTTATTTAAAGAACAGTGTGAATATTTGCTGTGGGAGCTCTGCAGGTGAAAATGTTATCAGCTTGTGCTCCAGAGCTTCTCTTTAAGCAGCTCTCACCTGCCTGGCTGTTAAGAGGTTATCTCATGGAGCAGATATTGGGAAAGGCCCACGAAGAACTAGAGGAGGCAGCTGTGTGGCCTGCTCTGTACCCCCTAAGCTAGACTACGGGTGGGCGAAGGACGCTGTCCTGTTGACTGTGTTCAGCCAACACAAAACCCTGCACTCAAAGGTTAAGGAGGGGTGGTCTATGGGTTGCCATTGGACCATGGGTTGTTGCTGAAATGTGGGTTATTCAGCTGTGGGAACTCAACTGTGGGTCACTGTGTTGTCTGAACCCATGCTGGGTTGCTGGTTGAGAACCAGGGTTTGTTAATGTGGCTGGGTTTAGAAAGCACCAGATCCCGTATTATAACAACAGTCAACACTGGTGCAGGAGGGGGTCACTGAAGAAGGACCAAAGGAGGGTTTTTCAAGGGATGCGCAAATATTCATGGAACTTCAATGTATGGTTTATCCCAGCACAGCAAAAAAGGAGAGCTGAAAGTTACTAGTTTATTTGAAGAAAATCATAGGAGCCTAGCTGCCTGCCCTACACTGAGGCATCTAGATCAGCACTGCCCACACCAGCAGGGGGCAGACACGAGGATTTTGAGATCTGTGTTGGCTCATTTTGTGCTAGAACCTCCAAGACCATTGACTGGAGCCGGGTTCAAGGGAGCCGCTCAGGACAGCCATGCACCAAGGGGAATGAAAAAGCAAGGATGCCCAGGAGTACATGGCCAAGATCAAGAATTTGTCTCAGCATCAAAACAGGGTCTGCACTCCTTTCTTTCCCGCTTCTCCTTGTCTTTCACTCTGGCAGTCTATTTTAGACAAGATAAGCCTCTATGCTGTTGATGTTGTCATGAAATAACTGGGAGCCAGAAGCCTTTGCCCAGCTACTCCAAGTCATCCAGAGATGACCAGTGGATCTTGAGGTACTGTCTGCTCCCTCCTGCTCTTCCACAACTGGCAGTCACTCTCCAGGGAAATCAGGCCTTTCCCAGTCTTTTCTACCTGGAGACACCAAGGATTGAACCTGGGACCTTCTGCATACAAAGCGGCTGCTCTGCCACTGGTTGCATCCCATCCAGCATCCTCTTCCCTCTCCAGTACACGCCCAGCAGAGCCAAGAAATGCAAAGCAGCTGCACCGGGTTGTTGAGCTGGCCTTCTTCGATTCAGGTTTGTTGCTTCAGACGGAAAGATTTCAGGGGACCCTTTCCCATCCAGGGATATTGGATTGTAAGTCCCATCATGCTGACAGGGGATGATGGAAAGTGGCAGGTGAATGTATCAAGAAGGTATCAGGAAGGTATCATGGTATGGGAATCAGGACACTGAGTGTGATTAGTGGCTCTTTTCTAGACAAGGCACCACTTGCACATTGTATTTATATCCCACGCTTTCCCCCCACAGGGAACCCAGAGCTGCTTACATCATCTTCCTCCTCTCCATTTCATCCTCACAACAGCCCTGTAAGGTAGGTTAGGCTGAGCGTCTCTAACTGCCCTAAAGCCACCCCGTGAGCTTCATGACTTCTTAAGCCCTAGTCCAACCACCCAGAAATGCCAACAGGTGTGTGCAAGAGTCGGTGAACTTCTGTAATAATAAAAGAGGGAGTCTGTCTGCCCTCTTGGGGGGGAACTTGGGGGCTCTAGGAAGTTAGCCCTCAAATGCTGGGGCGCTAGACTAGGAAGGGCTAGTCCTACTTCGTTCCCTGGCACTTGTCCAGCATGTTCTGTCCCCCACGGAGACACGTCTTTTCTCCCTCTTTGTACACTGACGTTACATGGATGAAATAATAAGAATAGAAATGTCCACTGTATAATAAACAGCAGGGAAGAGCATGACTCATTTGCCCTGTTTCTTGATCATCTCTCCAGTGATTTTATAACTGTTTTCCCTCACAAAGATCATCTGCATTTTTATTGCATTACAAGATACAATAAAGACTCATTGTCTACAAGACTTTTTAAAAAATGTAGCTTGGGAGTTCAGCTAGGGCAGTAGTTTAAAAGGAAACTTCTTAAAGAAATCAGGTATACATAGACCCAACTGGATCGCAGACTTGAGGACAAGATGATGGTGGGAAGAGGGCCCTTCAACAGAACTGCGGGCAAAAATTGGTCCATCTGTTTAACATTCACATAGATTATTCAGCACAAAGGCAGAATACAAGAGATGGGAGAATATTTATGGGCTTGTTTCCTCCTGCCAAACACTGAGAAAAGAAGAGAAAAATGCAGTTCATGTGGCTGGAAGTAATGATGCATAAAACATACTGGGATATTCAACAACAGAACCCATAGATTGGGTATTGATGTTAAACTGTGTACTAAAAGTGTTTAATGAAGCCTGCAATCCTTTACATACTTACCTGAGGGTAAGTCCCATGGAGCTCAGTTTTTACCACTGAGTTGGCATATTTAGGATTGTCATGTAGCTTAGCTAACAGGATTTGGAATTTATTGATTCAAAAGGTTATGTAATGTACTATTAATTTTGCATATCTAGTTAGGACATTTCAAGTAATACAAGGGAAACTGTCTTAAAGAAAACTGTCTTACTTGAAACACATCTTGCTATTTCCCACTCACGCACTTTTGAGGCATGTACACTTAGGTTTGCTCTGCCAGATTGCAATCCTATGCACATTTACTTGCAAGTAAGCCCATCAGGTTCAGGAAAAACCCAGGGCATGAGAAAGCCAGGTCCGCAGCATTTCTAGTTGAATAGTTTTCTGTGCACTTCCAACATCTTGCACTAAAGCCCCCACCAATCCCTAACCAGCATGATTCGCACAGGTGATGACCTGTCCTTCTGAGTATTCAAATCTGCTACCTGCACAGGTATTGTCACTGTAAGATTGTCCTTCTAATAGCACAGTCATTGGGTAGCACAGCTCTTATCTGTTAATGAATTCCTCCATTTGTTCAAAGGACAAGCCTAAAACCTGCCAAGCTACCAGCCACACGGGGAGACTCAGCCCCACCAAGTGTGTCAACATCTCATGTCATAACAGGATGAAACAGCAACCTTGCAGCGATGTCGCACCTGCTCTGGCAGCAGATTTGCCGGCAAGAGCTCTGCCACACTTCTTCCTGTCCTAATGCCCAAAGAATTTGGACTGCAACAGGGTTGTGGTACGGAAAGGGACCAACTTCCATGCCTACAGGGTTCTGGTCGGGATCCCTCCCCCTGCACCAACCACCTTGTCTTGCACAGCCCCATACACAATCCCTTGTTGTGTGAATGGTGTACCGGAAAACCAGCTGTAGACAACCTGGGGTCTCCAGATGGATGATTTGTTTGGGGGGCTTTGCTACAATTCCCATCATCCCTGTGATCACTGGTCAACCTACTGAGGACACATGGGAGTCTTAGACACACCAGGCGCACACCATGCTGCCTACACCTGGTGTACTGTAGTGGTGTATTGTGTAGTTTGGCCCTTAAGAAAAGGAAAACGTGAGTAATATTTCCACTTGGGATGTACCATTCTGGCCATATAGAGTAGGCAAGCTGCAGAACGTCAAGGCAGTTCTGCCCAGAAGGGTTCTTGAAACAGAACGCTGGGAGGGAATCCACATGTCTGGGGGATTTTATTAAGTTACTCTCTGGTGGCATTTTGACCCTTGACCCAGCGGCACATCCCTCTCCAGGCCTTTAAATCTCGTTTATCAACAGCGATGGATGGATGCCAAGGAACTATTTCTCTCTCATGTCCCTGGACATGACGCTGCCTTCGCCTTCTCCTCCTTTACGGCCATGAAATGTTATTTAGACACTCCTGCATTTTTACCAGCACTATGAAACTCTGCTTATGGGGAAAAATTGTCAGCAAGCCAAGAAATCAGGATTTATGAATTCAAGCCTTCCCCAATTCCCTTCCCCAAACCCAAAGAATGGCCGGATGAGCTGGATGAAAGAACAAGGAGGCCCGTGTTCAGCCCATTTATCTGAGTCAGATAAATGAAAATGAAGACTCTGCATTGCGAGAGTCGGGTCCAACAAAAAGGTCTCCTGTGTTATCCTTGCATTTAACCCTTGCAATGAACAACACAATCCAGCCTTCGTGTGTGAGAGAGATTTGCGGCACAACCCTAGGCAGAAGTCAGTCCGGTTAAGTTTAACAGGATTTGCTTCCTGGTAAGCGCATATAGGATCGCAGCCAAACTGAACACACAGCACGCCTAGCCAGATCTTTGCCTTCATCCACAGTCTCCACGTCTCCTTGTTTTGTGTTTTCCCCCATTACATACTTCTAAGAATCTAATTTTGCGGCAGCTGAGGGAGAGATTAGCGGTTTTAAGAGCAGGACATTTTCTTCCTATTAGAAAAACAAGCCAAATGCTTTGCATGGGCTGCCCTGATACGACATAGGCAACGGCAACACGCTCTGTCCATCCATGGAGGGATCCAGGGGAAAGAGTGACTTACCATCAGGAAGGGAACCATCCACTGCATTCTTCCTCTTGTGATAATTATTAGTGTTACTACTGCAGATCTTCTTTCCTGCCAGTTATTTCCCAAACACCTGGATCTGCTCCAGTGAAGGATGCAAGGGAGGAGAGCTCAAAAGTGCGTCTTCCCAGATTGCTGGTTCCTGGGCCATCTGAAGAAAAACACGCAAGGAAGGGGAGGGAACAGGCGGTGAGGCAGCTCCAGTCTTTTGCAAAGACGCAAGGACAAGCTTGGGAAGAAGAAAGACCGCGGACAAGTTTTCTCGATGGACACCAAAGAGCCACAAAAGAAAACTGCTGCATGGAACCCAAAGTCACGCCGGCTTTGCTTCTCTGCGCTCTCAAACGCCACGCAGAACCGTTTCAAAATGAGGGGTCATTCCAGGGCACGCCCAACAGGAGGCTACACAGCCTTTTAGGTGGGGGGGGGGCTGTTTATTTTGGGCGTCTTTGAGGTACTTCCTCGGGGCTCTGATCCACGGAGATGACCATGCTTAGCGTAAGGCAGGGGGTCACTGCAGCCGAGGTCCCTCTCCCTTCCGGGCGCGCGCGTGCGCGTGTCCTGTGGGGCTCCGTCGGCGTTAGATGTCGGCCGGTGCTATTTCTTGGTCTCCTGGTTTATCCACCCATCTACTATTACTTTAGAAAAAGACTTGGGGAAGTAGGCAGAGGTTGCAGGATTTGGCGATCGGTTGCAAAGAAAGGGTCACGGGCCTCCGAAAACCCAGCCCCTCGCGCCGCCCCCTCCCCGCCCGCAACAAGCTCCCGCAGCGCGTTCCCCTCGCGCCTGCGTTCCCCAAGCTCCGTCCCGCAAAAGAGCCGAATCTGGCCCACGAGGTGCCAAAGGAAGTTGGAAGCCCGCGAGTACGGCGGGCACGATTCGCGCGCAGCCAAGCTCGCCTTCGCCTCCACCTCCCGCGCCTCCGCCTGCGGCTCCCTCCACTCTTCCCCTCCCTCGACCGTTTTCGGGGCAATTACCTTGCGCCACGCTATGGGGCTCCCGCAGTCCGGAGGCTGCTCCGCGGTCCCCTCGCCGGCGGTCCCTGCGTCTCCGCCGCGCCCGGCAAGGCGCCCCCGGCCCCGGCGCACCGGCCGTGGGATGCCTGCGCACCGCTCCGTTTCGCTTCGCGCAGGGCAAGATGGAGCAGCGGCGCGGCGCGGCGGCGGCGGCGGCGGCGGCGTCGCGGGGAGGGCGCGGGGGCGGCGAGACGGGAGGGAAAGCCGCGGCGCGGAGCGCCCGCAGGCTCGCTGGATCGCAGCCCCCCTGCCTCCGCTCCCTCCAGACGTGCGCGCGCGTGTGTTGGGGGGTCCCCTCGCGTGGCCCCCTTCCCTCGTGCTGCTGTCCGTTGCAGCCCGCAACTCGGATCCCCCCCCCGCCGCCCGCGTCTTCTGCAGTCTTCCCTCGGGCGCTCTTGCGCACAGGCGCCCTGCTCCGGCTTTGGCGTCCAAAGTCCTCCTGGTTTCGGGTTTCTCCGCTTCCCCCCTAGATTTCTGGAATGATGCTGCGGGTCCTGCTCGGGGTTGCCCGTCGGAATCCGTGCAGAGCGCTCGCCTCCTCCAGAGGCTGGAGCGGAAAGGGAGAACACTTTCTTTCCCCTTCACTTTCTCCGTCTCCCTCCCTCTCTCCCTCCCTCCCTCTCTCTCTCTCTCTCAACTTGGTTGGCGAGGAGTTCTCGGAGCAAAAATGGGAGGGCTTTAAAACGAAATCCGTTACAACGGAAGAGCAGCCCGGCTGGATCTGATCAGAGGCGCTTCCAGGCCAGCCTTTAGCGCACTCAGTGGCCAGCTACCCGTGGGAATCCCGCAAGGGGGACAGGAGGGCGGAGGCGACCCCCCCCCACCCACACCCACTCGTTCGCCAGCAACTGGTGCGCAGAGGCATCTTGCCCTCCCTTGCGCCGCGCCCTCAGCGCCAGCCGGCATGGAGCCTCCTGCGCGTAGTTGTCCATTCCTCTTTTAAAGCCACCCACGCTGGTGGCCATCACCACGTACTGGAAGCTGAATTCCATCGTTTAACCAGTGCGAAGAAGTCCGCCCTTAAAAAAAATTAATAAATCTAAATGTCCCACCATGGGAGGAACCTTTCAGGTCGTAGTATGAAAGGCAGAAATACGTCTCCCTATCCACCTTCTCCACACCAAACATAATTCTATACACTTCTATCACATGTCCCTTACCTTTTTTCATTTCCTTAGCTGAACAGTCCCAGGCTTGGTAATCTTTCCTTACTGGAGAGTTACTCCAACCCCTTAATAATTTTAGCCCCCCCCCCCAACCTCTTTTTTAAGATCTGGAGACCAGAGCTGTACACAGTATTCCAAATTTAGTCCACATTAGATCTGCACAATGACAGTATTCTTTTGGCAACTGTATCTTCAGTGTTTTTCTAATTATTTCTAGCATAAAATTTGCAGACACTCAGAGGCATAGTCATCAAGCTGTCCACTACAGCCCTGAGATCTCTTTCATGGCTAGTTACTGCTAGCTCAGCTCACATCAGCATCTATGTGAAGTTGGGTTTATTTGCCCCGACTTGTGTTACTTTAACTTTGTGTTCAAATCTGTCAGTCCTAAAGGAAATCAACTCTGACTGCTCCTTAGAAGGTCAGGTACTAAAGCCGAAGCTCAAATACTTTGGCCACCTAATGATAAGGAAGGACTCATTGGAAAAGACCCTGTTACTGGGAAAAAGGAGAAGGGGACAGCAGAGGATGAGGTGGCTAGATGGAGTCATTGAGTGCGGTCTTGGGTGTACTCTGGGGGATGGGGGAAGACAGGACAACCTGGAGGAATGTTGCCCATGGGGTCGCGAAGAGTCGGGCACAACTTTGCGACTGAACAACAGCTACTACTTTCTCTTCTTTAACCAAGACTTCTGCTCTTCTCCCATGACTGCTTGGTTGCTCAGCAGTCTTTAGTGAGGGACTTATTAAAGGCCTTTTCAAACAGACCACAGTCTACCGGATCACATCTACCCACAGGTTTATTGATAGTCTCAAAGAACTCTAAAAAGTTAATGAGACAGGACTTACCTTTCTGGAAGCCATGCTGATTCTTTCTCAGCAGGGCTTGTCCTATATGCTTACTAATGGTATTTTTAATCGAGCTTTCAATCAATTTATCCAGAGCAAAATAATTTTTTCCAAATTATTAAAATTTATTAATGATTTATCCAAATATATTTTAAGCTAACCAACCTGCGATTTCTGGATTCCCCTAGGATCGTTTTAAAAAATGGTGTTACCCTGGTCATTCTCCAGTTCTCTGCTACAGAGGTTGGAACTTAGATACTTTTTGAGGAAAACATGGGAAGGGGGATATGTGCACACGCACGCACACAGAGGATTGTAATGGTACATTTGTAATTGTACAAGCTCGTAACAACTGTGCGTGCTCACCTTCGCAAATATGTAAACAACTTCCAAAATCTTTATCCAGCAAGATGGATTTTACCTTCACCTCAGGTGCGTTAAAACCACCCCCAAACTTCCCTTCCTCTAAGAAGCTCATTAACATACAGACCAGGTTATCGCTGGTCTCTTCCATTTTATCATCCCATCATTCCTGTCAGGTAGTTTAGGCTGAGAGACTGATTGGTCCCAGGTCACTCCTTACTCTCATGGCTCTATAAACTAGAGGTGGAAAACTTCTGGCCCTCTAGATATTGTTGAGCTTCAACTCCTATCAGCTCTGCTCAACTTAGCCCATGGGTAGAGATGATGAGATCTGCACTGAATAATAGCTGGAAGGCTACAGGTGCCCCACCCACCCCTGCCCTAATCACTACACCACACTGCCTCTCTGTGTGCAGTAGTAAAATTGTCGCCTATCCTGGCTCGTTGTCTCACTATTGCCAGCAATTTAAGCAGCACAACTTACATAGGTACTCCTGACAAACGTGAACTCATGCCAGGGTTCCTGATTTATTGGTGGAGGTTGTCCTTCTGATGAGACTGCACTGGAAAGCTTGGAACCTAGAGGAAACATTTTAAATACGCTCCAGTATTTTCCCTCTAACCCCTAATTTGCTCAGGATGTACAATGTTGGTGGACCTACAAAGGGTAGCAATGTTGCCACACAGAACCTTTTGGGCCAATAAAACCAAACCTGAAGCGTTGCCAGCAACTGCCTCTTGCATCAGAATGCTTTCCCAGCCTTGTATTTGCCAGATATCATGCAACATTAAAATCCCCTTTCTCTGTTGATTCACCCACTATGTATCTTCCATAGTGGGACCCCCCCCCCCAAAAAAAAACCATTCCTCACAGAAGGGGAGTTGATTGATATTCTGGGTCACTAGGAACATGGCAGACAGCCCCCTCCCACCGCAGCATCCCAAAGACTCCAGATATGATTTTATTCGGAGGTGCTGTGTCTCCAAATTTCGTTAACTATGGCTAGAAGTGGAGCTACAATTGCTTTCAAAGTGCTGTAGTCAGCTTTAAACTGTACACTGGGATTTACGTCAGCTGGGGAAAGAGAAAAGAAAGAGAGGGAGAGACCCCAATTTGTAGTTCTTCCCAAATTTACCTTTGCAGGAGCACGTGATTTCAATAATGGGGGGAATCTCTCCCACTTGTTCATTTTCCTGAACTAATTTTAAGTATATAGCCCTTTTTCTTAACAGAACAATCCCACAGCCTCTGGACAGTGTCAAGAGAGCTATAGGATTCTCTGGAATCCCGGATGGGCAGTTGGAAAACAATTACGATATTGGAACTGGGGAGTCATGCTTGGATTTCCACCCTTTTCTCTTTGCAGCCAGTTTGGAAAGAACTGCATTGGCTGCTTCCCTGAGGTGGGAGAAGTGACGTCAGAGGAATGGCAAAGGTGGCGTGCAATAGACGGGGAGCAGAGGAGAGCAGGGCCAAGCAGGTGCAAGGCATCTCGGTGACGCTGCACCTCCCTTCTCTCCCTGTCTGAAGCGCTGTGACCAGATAGCCAAAATCAGCTGTCCAGCTGACTTGCAGGGTTGGAGGAGCAGGGAGACGCAGGTTGCCTTCATGCTCTTCCACCCTGCATGGGATACCTGTAATCTTCAAGTTCAGAGGCTGGACTGACCTCCCTCTCCCTCCCTCCCTCCCTCCCTCCCTCCCTCCCTCTCAAATTCCTGATTTTTGCCCAATCCATAACAAATCTCCAGTTGGTTTCCTTCAAAATTTATGGGCATGCTAGCATTCTTATCTTTGAGAAATGTTGCTCCTCTGATTGTATTTAAAGATATTATAAGCTGCCAAGAAAAGTTCATTGATTAGGCAGGGAGTAAAGACTGCAAATGAACGAACGAACGAATGAACGAACGAATGGTTTCACCCATAGTGGATCACTGGCTGCAAGATGTCTCCTGATTGCTGAAGTTCTCTTGTTTTGAATGAGCGTCACAAAAAGGCTTGGTGAAGGTGATACTCATCAGGTTAAGGGGAGGTGTGTCTAGAGAGAAAGAGAGAGATTAAAGTTGGTAGTGAAAGACAGTGACTGGGATTGGAGTTAGCTGAAGGTGAAGTGCCATGCAGGGTCTCTTCAGGATCTCGCTAGAATCTGCTGCCTTGCAAAAGTATCTCTTTGTCCTTATGAATTATGCTTAGCTTGGGTATTTGTAAACCAAGCATCTATTACAGAGATGCTGT